GCTGAGTGTGCTTTTTATGCACTTTGGGTCAATAATGTGGCGTTTCTGGCAGATGAACTAAAGGTGTGCGGCTGCTGCTGTGAGGAGGAAAGATCAGGCTGAATTTACAATGGGCCTTAATGGAGACATGTTGAAGGTTTTGTCTCTTCATGCCCTCAGAGGCATTTTGTTTCATTTCTTTGCTTAATTATGTTTTATTTTTCATTGTAGGAGAGGTTTTCCTACGTCTTTCATGAAAAGTGATGTCCAAGGAGTGTAGGGTTTGGGAGTTAAAGCACTCCAGACTTAACGAGCTGCTCCATCCACACTCATGTTAACATCTGAAGAAGGCCTCTCTACCAAACTACAAACTAAGTTCAATATCTCAAAAAGTGTAAAAGATCAAATAAGTTTCATAGCTGAAGGTCTTGTGACCGTTTTAAAGTTGGAATGAAGTCTCTAGCTGAAAGTATGTGGAAGGAGAAGCATTGGTGTAGGAAAAGAGGATTTGAAGGCTCCTCCCATTGACTTCCATGTTAAAAAAAGAGTTTAAAAAGCTGAATATTTCAAAAAGTATAACATATTTTGAAAAAGTTGAAGGTTTCCCATCATGTGCTGAAAAGACTAATAAAGTCAGAAACAAAACACACTCAGGGATTAAGGTGCTTTATTAGTTTTACAACATTTAATAGATATAGTTTTAATGACACTAAGAAAGCCAATAAATACTGGAGATATTTTGAGGGAATCGACATTTGTGAATGAAGATTTAGCCAAAATAATTCAGAATACCATTTGACCCTCTAGTGTTAGGAGCAGTGAGAGACGGTGCCTTGCTCAGGGACACCTCGGTAGCACTAGGGCTGCAGTCGAATAGTCCATTTAGCTTGAACCTTCCTAACCGAGTGAAATGACCCGGAAGTCCCTCAGTGGCAGCCATGATAAGTGCCGTTCCAATTCTCTAGATGAAAGGAAAGGAGGTTTCAAACTTCCTTTAACCTCCTTTAGCTTAGGAACCACTGGACCTCCCTAACCGAAAGGAGAGGAGAAAATGCTGCCCCACAATGCCTTGCAGCCGCAGCTTTGCCGTCACTCAACAGTCGGCCGTTCACGGAAACAAACGATTATGACGGAGAAATTTATATCATGAAAGTTACGGTGCTCATAAGCTAAACGTATGTGGTAAGTTGCCAAAGTGCTTTGTTCTGAACGTTCATCAGTATTATAATCACAGAGAGAAATATGAACGTTAGTTTTTACTGAAATGATCAAATAAAGTCAACATCTCTCAGTCTTACTGAGCTGTGGGGTTGTTCAACTTTTAAAAGATGTTTGAATGGTGATATACACAGTGATAGATGTTAAGGACTAACGGTTTATAATAAATACATCTGTATTGATTTAAGATCTTTTCATCAATCATACGTATTGGGATCATTTGTATTAATGTGGACCGGAGGGGAGAGGGGGACGAGCAGAAGTTCACTTTCCTTTTATTTCAATTCCAGCTTTGGTCTGAAGAATCTGTTCTCTGTTGTCCACGTTCATAAAGCATAAAGCAACAGCGTCAGAGCACAGAGTCTCTAGATGAGTCACAGGAGTCCCTCGTTCTTATTGAACATCCATGTTGTAGTCCGCTGTATAGAGAACTGTAGTTCCATAGTTTCCCCACAGCAGCAGACGCTCATTCAGGACGTCCGCTGGCGCATCAGAAACACGTGGGATAGTGAAAGTTGCAGTCGATCTCTAAAGTACCTGCAGTCTCTTCTCCTAAGTCCTTTTGAATTCTCCTATCCACTATCCCTTAACCCCGTGACCTTTCACTCAGAGGTCAAGGAATAGGAGATAGGGTTAGACGTTAGGAGCTGATTTTAGGATTATTCGACTGCAGCCCTGGTCTTTCTGGGACTTGAACCGGCCCCCAGCCAAGTCCCCATGCATTTAGGCGCCACCTAATTGATGGTTATTTCCAAATTCTATTTTTTGTTTTCCAATGAAAGACCACATTTGACTTTCGTTGTTGTTAAAATGGGAATGTTTTGGTGTTTTGAAAGAAAGCAAATACTGGGAAGTAGTAGTAGTGTTTCAATAAAGCTTTAGATACTTAACAAATGAAGTGTTTACATAAAAACACATTTCAGATGCAGACCCAAGGACACGGTACAATGTTAAATACTATCAGAGGTTAAATAATGATAAAACACAAGCGCGGGTGATCATGGAGCAGACAGTCAAAGTAGACGGGAATGATCGAGACAGGTGATTCAGGGGAAACAGGATGGTGAGCACTGCAGTGAGCAGGCTGACCTGAACAGTTATTTAATATCTTCTCACACTCTTCTCTGTCTGTGTTTCAGGTGAAGACGTCTGGTCGTACGCTAAGAAGCTACCGCACTTATTCCAGCAGGGCGGCGTCTTCTACAACATCGTGAAGAAGGACATGGGTACGTCCGCACAAAGAACTACGACTTTATAAAGGAGTTGGAAACATCTGGAGCGCGGACGCGTAACATTACAAAGCGTTTATCCCCGCCTTTACTCACACGTGGATTAGGAGGACTGCTGTTTATCATTTATTTATTTTTATTCGTTTCGTTTCTGTTCTGATGTAAAGCGTCTTTGAGCATTCGGAAAAGCACTATAAAAACCCCAGTGTATTATTATTAAAAATCTTACCCTCCATAAAAGCGTCTTTGAGAAGCACTTTTTCTCCAAATCTCAAAATTCTGACTTTTTCCTCAAAATATAACAATTCTGACTTTTTTCAAAAAATCTCAAAATTCTGACTTTTTCTCAAAATCTGAAAAAGAACTGACTTTCTCCTCAGAATCCTGACTTTCTCCTCAGAATCCTGACTTTCTCCTCAGAATCCTGACTTTCTCCTCAGAATCCTGACTTTCTCCTCAGAATCCTGACTTTCTCCTCAGAAATCCTGACTTTCTCCTCAGAATCCTGACTACTTTCTCCTCAGAATCCTGACTTTCTCCTCAGAATCCTGACTTTCTCCTCAGAATCCTGACTTTCTCCTCAGAATCCTGACTTTCTCCTCAGAATCCTGACTTTCTCCTCAGAATCCTGACTTTCTCCTCAGAATTGACTTTCTCCTCAGAATCCTGACTTTCTCCTCAGAATCCTGACTTTCTCCTCAGAATCCTGACTTTCTCCTCAGAATCCTGACTTTCTCCTCAGAATCCTGACTTCTCCTCAGAATTCTGACTTTCTCCTCAGAATCCTGACTTTCTCCTCAGAATCCTGACTTTCTCCTCAGAATCCTGACTTTCTCCTCAGAATCCTGACTTTCTCCTCAGAATCCTGACTTTCTCTCAGAATCCTGACTTTCTCCTCAGAATCCTGACTTTCTCCTCAGAATCCTGACTTTCTCCTCAGAATCCTGACTTTCTCCTCAGAATTCTGACTTTCTCCTCAGAATCCTGACTTTCTCCTCAGAATCCTGACTTTCTCCTCAGAATCCTGACTTTCTCCTCAGAATCCTGACTTTCTCCTCAGAATTCTGACTTTCTCCTCAGAATTCTGACTTTCTCCTCAGAATCCTGACTTTCTCCTCAGAATTCTGACTTTCTCCTCAGAATCCTGACTTTCTCCTCAGAATCCTGACTTTCTCCTCAGAATCCTGACTTTCTCCTCAGAATCCTGACTTTCTCCTCAGAATCCTGACTTTCTCCTCAGAATTCTGACTTTTTTCTCAAATGTTTGACTTTTTCTCAAAATGTTGACTTTTTTCTCAAAATTTCAAAATTCTGACTTTTTAAAAAAATTCAATTTTTTTTCTCAAAAATTGGATTTTTTCTCAAAATTCTGACTTTTTAAGAAAATTCGGATTATTTTTCAAAATTTGAATTTTTTTTCTCAAAATTTGGATTTTTTCTCAAAACTTTGACTTTTTCTCAAAACTTTGACTTTTTCTCAAAATCTGAAAAAAACCTGACTTTTTTCCTCAGAATTCTGACTTTTTTCTAAAATGTTTGACTTTTTCTCAAAATGTTGACTTTTTCTCAAAATGTTGACTTTTTCTCAAAACTTTGACTTTTCTCAAAATCTGAAAAAGACCTGACTTTCTCCTCAGAATCCTGACTTTCTCCTCAGAATCCTGACTTTCTCCTCAGAATCCTGACTTTCTCCTCAGAATCCTGACTTTCTCCTCAGAATCCTGACTTTCTCCTCAGAATTCTGACTTTCTCCTCAGAATCCTGACTTTCTCCTCAGAATCCTGACTTTCTCCTCAGAATCCTGACTTTCTCCTCAGAATTCTGACTTTCTCCTCAGAATCCTGACTTTCTCCTCAGAATCCTGACTTTCTCCTCAGAATTCTGACTTTCTCCTCAGAATTCTGACTTTCTCCTCAGAATCCTGACTTTCTCCTCAGAATCCTGACTTTCTCCTCAGAATCCTGACTTCTCCTCAGAATTCTGACTTTCTCCTCAGAATCCTGACTTTCTCCTCAGAATTCTGACTTTCTCCTCAGAATTCTGACTTTCTCCTCAGAATCCTGACTTTCTCCTCAGAATCCTGACTTCTCCTCAGAATCCTGACTTTCTCCTCAGAATCCTGACTTCTCCTCAGAATCCTGACTTTCTCCTCAGAATCCTGACTTTCTCCTCAGAATCCTGACTTTCTCCTCAGAATCCTGACTTTCTCCTCAGAATTCTGACTTTCTCCTCAGAATCCTGACTTTCTCCTCAGAATCCTGACTTTCTCCTCAGAATTCTGACTTTCTCCTCAGAATTCTGACTTTCTCCTCAGAATCCTGACTTTCTCCTCAGAATCCTGACTTTCTCCTCAGAATCCTGACTTTCTCCTCAGAGATCCTGACTTTTCTCCTCAGAATCCTGACTTTCTCCTCAGAATCCTGACTTTCTCCTCAGAATCCTGACTTTCTCCTCAGAATCCTGACTTTCTCCTCAGAATCCTGACTTCTCCTCAGAATCCTGACTTTCTCCTCAGAATCCTGACTTTCTCCTCACAATTCTGACTTTCTCCTCAGAATCCTGACTTTCTCCTCAGAATCCTGACTTTCTCCTCAGAATCCTGACTTTCTCCTCAGAATCCTGACTTTCTCCTCAGAATCCTGACTTTCTCCTCAGAATTCTGACTTTCTCCTCAGAATCCTGACTTTCTCCTCAGAATCCTGACTTTCTCCTCAGAATCCTGACTTTCTCCTCAGAATTCTGACTTTTTTCTCAAATGTTTGACTTTTTCTCAAAATGTTGACTTTTTTCTCAAAATTTCAAAATTCTGACTTTTTAAAAAAATTCAATTTTTTTCTCAAAAATTGGATTTTTTCTCAAAATTCTGACTTTTTAAGAAAATTCGGATTATTTTTCAAAATTTGAATTTTTTTCTCAAAATTTGGATTTTTTCTCAAAACTTTGACTTTTTCTCAAAATCTGAAAAAAACCTGACTTTTTTCCTCAGAATTCTGACTTTTTTCTAAAATGTTTGACTTTTTCTCAAAATGTTGACTTTTTCTCAAAACTTTGACTTTTTCTCAAAATCTGAAAAAGACCTGACTTTTCTCCTCAGAATCCTGACTTTCTCCTCAGAATCCTGACTTTTCTCCTCAGAATCCTGACTATCTCCTCAGAATCCTGACTTTCTCCTCAGAATTCTGACTTTCTCCTCAGAATTCTGACTTTCTCCTCAGAATTCTGACTTTTTTCTCAAATGTTTGACTTTTTCTCAAAATGTTGACTTTTTTCTCAAAATTTCAAAATTCTGACTTTTTAAAAAAATCCAATTTTTTTTCTCAAAAATTGGATTTTTTCTCAAAATTCTGACTTTTCCTCAAAACTTTGACTTTTTCTCAAAATCTGAAAAAAACCTGACTTTTTTCCTCAGAATTCTGACTTTTTTCTAAAATGTTTGACTTTTTCTCAAAATGTTGACTTTTTCTCAACCTCAACATTGTGGCTTTTTAGAAAGCACTGGTTCTTACTCACATAATGGTTCAGGCGTTGTGCGATCATTTTGTTGAGGAGGGGGAGCGATAATGTGTTGATAATGTTTGCACAATATGAAAATCGATAGCATCAAGAAATGGTATGTCTTGTTGGTGTCCAGGGAGGGCGTGCAGGATTAACCCTGATGTGCTACAGGTGCATCTCCATGCATGTCCTCTTGATGTTATGTCTGTGGAAATAAAAGCGTCTTTGAGCGGCGTTAGGGAAAGACGGTTTTGGGGAATTGCATTTTGGCTTCACGCTGATTCTTCAGACTGACCTGTTTGTCTATGATCCTTAAGAACCCCCTCCTGTGTGTCCTCAGGCCTGCTGGACGGGAAGCACTGCTCGCTGCCTCACCTGACGGGGAAGACCTTCGTGTTCAACGCGGCGACGGAGCGTCTGGATCTCTGCGTGGACGCGGCCGGGCACTTCCCCGTGAGCCCGGAGGTGGAGGAGCAGGTGAAGGAGGCGCTGCTGCAGCTGCAGGTGCGCTCCGAGGCCTCCGGGGGCCAACAGAGAGAGCAGCGAGGCGTCCGGCGTGCTGAGGCTCGGAGGAGGAGGCGTGGTTGCGGAAAAAGAGTCGTTTCAGAGCCTCAACGCTTTCCAGGGGAGGGGCCACTCTCTAGGTAACTCTTCATTACTGCACTTAAAGGTCCCCTATTATACTGTTCTTCATCAATATATTACAGGTCTCAGATATATACAAAAAGTACCCACATTTACTCAAGTAGAAGTACAGATACTCGTCGTGTTCAAAAATACTCTGGTGAAAGTAGAAGTACTGACTAAACTTCTTTACTCAAGTCAAAGTAAAGAGGCTTTGAAGTGTACTTCAGTAAAAAGTACCCATAACTAGCAGCTGCTTTAAAGAGTACCTGACCTCCCTTTATATTAATAGAACAATAATGTCATTGTTAGCTAATGAATGTTTCCATGCTGAACAACGGCAACATGACAACGTTTCCATTGGTCCCTCTTCTTTAGAGAAGACCAGGAAATGATGGATACACGGATCGTGTTCAAATCAATAGGCACGCAATGACTCTAAAGAATAATGATCACGCATCAAACACACATTCAGACTAAAGGAACCAGCTGTTTGGAAAATGAGAGAAGTAGAAAGTACAAGTATTTGAGTTCAACATGTAAGAAGTAGAAAGTACAGGTATTTGTGTTCAACATGTAAGAAGTAGAAAGTACAGGTATTTGAGTTCAACATGTAAGAAGTAGAAAGTACAGGTATTTGAGTTCAACATGTAAGAAGTAGAAAGTACAGGTATTTGGTTCAACATGTAAGAAGTAGAAAGTACAGGTATTTGAGTTCAACATGTGAGAAGTAGAAAGTACAGGTATTTGGGTTCAACATGTGAGAAGTAGAAAGTACAGGTATTTGAGTTCAACATGTAAGAAGTAGAAAGTACAGGTATTTGGGTTCAACATGTAAGAAGTAGAAAGTACAGGTATTTGGGTTCAACATGTGAGAAGTAGAAAGTACAGGTATTTGAGTTCAACATGTAAGAAGTAGAAAGTACAGGTATTTGTGTGTTCAACATGTAAGAAGTAGAAAGTACAGGTATTTGTGTTCAACATGTAAGAAGTAGAAAGTACAGGTATTTGAGTTCAACATGTAAGAAGTAGAAAGTACAGGTATTTGTGTGTTCAACATGTGAGAAGTAGAAAGTACAGGTATTTGTGTTCAACATGTAAGAAGTAGAAAGTACAGTATTTGGTTCAACATGTAAGAAGTAGAAAGTAGGTATTTGAGTTCAACATGTAAGAAGTAGAAAGTACAGGTATTTGGGTTCAACATTGTAAAGTAGAAAGTACAGGTATTTGAGTTCAACATGTGAGAAGTAGAAAGTACAGGTATTTGAGTTCAACATGTGAGAAGTAGAAGTACAGGTATTTGAGTTCAACATGTGAGAAGTAGAAAGTACAGGTATTTGAGTTCACATGTGAGAAGTAGAAAGTACAGGTATTTGGGTTCAACATGTAGAAGTAGAAAGTACAGGTATTTGAGTTCAACATGAAGAAGTAGAAAGTACAGGTATTTGAGTTCAACATGTAAGAAGTAGAAAGTACAGGTATTTGAAGTTCAACAGCAGTAAGAAGTAAGAAAGTACAGGTATTGAGTATTCAAACATGTAGAAGTAAGAAAGTACAGGTATTGAGTTCAACATGTAAGAAGTAGAAGTATCAGGTAATTTGAGTTCAACATGTAAGAAAGTAGAAGATACAGGTAATTTGGGTTCACAACATGTAAGAGTAGAAAGTACAGGTAATTTGAAGGTTCAACATGTAAGAAGTAGAAAGTACAAGGTATTTGAGTTCAACATGGAAGAAGTAGAAAGTACCAGGTATTGAGTTCAACATGGTTGAGAAGTAAGAAAGTTACAGGTATTTGGGTTCAACATGTGGAGCAGTAGAAAGTACAGGTATTTGGAGTTCAACATGTGAGAAGTAGAAAGTACAGGTATTTGAGTTGCAACATGTACGAAGTAGAAAGTACAGGTATTTGAGTTCAACATGTAAGAAGTAGAAAGTATCAGGTATATTTGTGTGCAACATGTAGAGAAGTAGAAAGTACAGGTATTTAAGTTCACACCATAGGTAACGAAGTATGAAAGTACAGGCTTCAACAGGTATTTGAGTTCAACATGTAAGAAGTAGAAAGTACAGGTATTTGGGTTCAACATGTAAGAATAGAAAGTACAGGTATTTGAGTTCAACATGTAAGAAGTAGAAAGTACAGGTATTTGGGTTCAACATGTAAGTAGAAAGTACAGGTATTGAGTTCAACATGTAAGAAGTAGAAAGTACAGTATTTGGGTTCAACATGTGAGAAGTAGAAAGTACAGGTATTTGAGTTCAACATGTGAGAAGTAGAAAGTACAGGTTTTGTGTTCAACATGTAAGAAGTAAAAGTACAGGTATTTGAGTTCAACATGTAAGAAGTAGAAAGTACAGGTATTTGTGTTCAACATGTAAGAAGTAGAAAGTACAGGTATTTGAGTTCAACATGTGAGAAGTAGAAAGTACAGGTATTTGGGTTCAACATGTAAGAATAGAAAGTACAGGTATTGGGTTCAACATGTAAGAAGTAGAAATACGGTATTTGGGTTCAACATGTAAGAAGTAGAAAGTACAGGTATTTGAGTTCAACATGTAAAAATAGAAAGTACAGGTATTTGAGTTCAACATGTAAGAAGTAGAAAGTACAGGTATTTGTGTTCAACATGTAAGAAGTAGAAAGTACAGGTATTTGGGTTCAACATGTAAGAAGTAGAAAGTACAGGTATTTGAGTTCAACATGTAAGAATAGAAAGTACAGGTATTTGGTTCAAAATGTAAAAGTAGAAAGTACAGGTATTTGAGTTCAACATGTGAGAAGTAGAAAGTACAGGTATTTGTGTTCAACATGTGAGAAGTAGAAAGTACAGGTATTTGTTCAACATGTCAGAAGTAGAAAGTACAGGTATTTGTGTTCAACATGTAAGAAGTAGAAGTACAGGTATTTGAGTTCAACATGTAAGAAGTAAAAGTACAGGTATTTGTGTTCAACATGTAAGAAGTAGAAAGTACAGGTATTTGAGTTCAACATGTAAGAAGTAGAAAGTACAGGTATTTGAGTTTCAACATGTGAGAAGTAGAAAGTACAGGTATTGTGTTCAACATGTAAGAAGTAGAAAGTACAGGTATTTGAGTTCAACATGTGAGAAGTAGAAAGTACAGGTATTTGAGTTCAACATGTAAGAAGTAGAAAGTACAGGTATTTGTGTTCAACATGTAAGAAGTAGAAAGTACAGGTATTTGTGTTCAACATGTAAGAAGTAGAAAGTACAGGTATTGTGTTCACATGTGAGAAGTAGAAAGTACAGGTATTTGAGTTCAACATGTCAGAAGTAGAAAGTACAGTATTAGTGTTCAACATGTGAGAAGTAGAAAGTACAGGTATTTAGTTCAACATGTAGAAGTAGAAAGTACAGGTTTTGTGTTCAACATGTAAGAAGTAGAAAGTACAGTATTTGAGTTCAACATGTAAGACGTAGAAAGTACAGGTATTTGAGTTCAACATGTAAGAAGTAGAAAGTACAGGTATTTAGTGTTCAACATGTAAGAAGTAGAAAGTACAGGTATTTGAGTTCAACATGTAAGAAGTAGAAAGTACAGGTATTTGTGTTCAACATGTAAGAAGTAGAAAGTACAGGTATTTGAGTTCAACATGTGAGAAGTAGAAAGTACAGGTATTTGTGTTCAACATGAAGAAGTAGAAAGTACAGTATTTGTGTTCAACATGTGAAGTAGAAAGTACAGGTATTTGAGTTCAACATGTCAGAAGTAGAAAGTACAGGTATTAGTGTTCAACATGTTGAGAAGTAGAAAGTACAGGTATTTGAGTTCAACATGTAAGAAGTAGAAAGTACAGGTATTTGTGTTCAACATGTAAAAGTAGAAAGTACAGGTATTTGAGTTCAACATGTAAGAAGTAGAAAAGTACAGGTATTTGAGAGTCAACATGTAAGAAGTAGAAAGTACAGGTATTTGTGTTCAACATGTAAGAAGTAGAAAGTACAGGTATTTGTGTTCAACATGTAAGAAGTAGAAAGTACAGGTATTTGAGTTCAACATGTAAGAAGTAGAAAGTACAGGTATTTGTGTTCAACATGTAAGAAGTAGAAAGTACAGGTATTTGAGTTCAACATGTAAGAAGTAGAAGTACAGGTATTTGAGTTCAACATGTAAGAAGTAGAAAGTACAGGTATTTGTGTTCAACATGTAAGAAGTAGAAAGTACAGGTATTTGAGTTCAACATGTAGAAGTAGAAAGTACAGGTATTTGTGTTCAACATGTAAGAAGTAGAAAGTACAGGTATTTGAGTTCAACATGTAAGAAGTAGAAAGTACAGGTATTTGAGTTCAACATGTAAGAAGTAGAAAGTACAGGTATTTGTGTTCAACATGTAAGAAGTAGAAACTACAGGTATGAGTTCAACATTGAGAAGTAGAAAGTACAGGTATTAGTGTTCAACATGTAAGAAGTAGAAAGTACAGGTATTTGGTTCAACATGTAAGAAGTAGAAAGTACAGGTATTTGTGTTCAACATGTAAGAAGTAGAAAGTACAGGTATTTGAGTTCAACATGTAAGAAGTAGAAAGTACAGGTATTTGAGTTCAATATGAGAGAAGTAGAAAGTACAGGTATTTGAGTTCAACATGAGAGAAGTAGAAAGTACAGGTATTTGTGTTCAACATGTAAGAAGTAGAAAGTACAGGTATTTGAGTTCAACATGAGAGAAGTAGAAAGTACAGGTATTTGTGTTCAACATGTAGAATAGAAAGTACAGGTATTTGGTTCAACATGTGAGAAGTAGAAAGTACAGGTATTTGAGTTCAACATGTAAGAAGTAGAAAGTACAGGTATTTGGAGTTCAACATGTGAGAAGTAGAAAGTACAGGTATTTGAGTTCAACATGTAGAAGTAGAAAGTACAGGTATTTGTGTTCAACATGTGAGAAGTAGAAAGTACAGGTATTTGAGTTCAACATGTAAGAAGTAGAAAGTTCAGGTATTTGGGTTCAACATGTAGAAGTAGAAAGTACAGGTATTTGAGTTCAACATGTAAGAAGTAGAAAGTACAGGTATTTGAGTTCAACATTGAGAAGTAGAAAGTACAGGTATTTGAGTTCAACATGTAAGAAGTAGAAGTACAGGTATTTGAGTTCAATATGAGAGAAGTAGAAGTACAGGTATTTGAGTTCAACATGAGAGAAGTAGAAAGTACAGGTTTTGTTGTTCAAAATGTAAGAAGTCAAGTAAAAGTCGTCAGAAAAATAAGTAGTGGAGTAAAGTACTGATACCAGAAACATGTACTTAAAAGTCTCCTATTATTATGTTTTTCATCAGATATATTACAGGTCTCAGATATATACAACACATGTCTCTGATTGCTGAAACACCAAACAGATCATTGCTGGCAAAAAAGAGACGTTGCAGAATCTCACGCTTTCTAGCTACGTAAACTCCCACTGTAGCATCTGAATCAGAATCAGAAAACCTTCATTAGTCCCACAGAGGCAGTGCGAGCCGTCAGGGCCTCTATTTATTTCTTATATTTTTCATTAGTTTTACCAAAAATAACTTGATTAAATTGTATTTAAAATAACATTTCCAAAGAAATAAGATCCTTTGAATCTGCCTATTCAGTTTCTGTTGGAAATGTGAAGGGTTAAAAGAAGAAGCTCGTCTCTGCGAGGTGAAGCTAGGAGCTGATTGGGACGTCCAGCTGTGAATTCACAGAGGGTTGCTATAGCAACTGAACGAGAGAGTAATGTTCAGATGACAGTACAATTGACCAATCATATCTTCCCTCTAAATGGGTGGGTTTTATTATCGCGGACTTTAGACAAGTTCCGCCCGCTATGAAGCTTTCTTGTTTCCATAGCAACACAACGTCCTGTCAACAGCGTAAACTCGCCTTCAAAATAAAAGCATGCCAAATTACGCTTAAGACATACAACTGCAACGAAAGTAACAAACACAATGCAATAATCCTTTCAATTCAAAGAACACACATTGGGTTATCTACAGGTGTTTGTTCTGTGTGGTAGAGGGTCGCTGTCATTGATGCGTTTTGCACGCCCGGGGTCCGTTTTGATATTCCACTGAAGTATACGCTGTGACGTAATAACTCTTTTTTTTTCGCAGAGTGAAGGGGGTCAGAGGGCCTAGTAAGTCACGGCTTACAGAGGCGACTTTACGTTGGTTAGCAGGCAGAAAAGAGCCAAAGGCCAGCTTAACGTTAACTAAGAAGCATGCATAAAAAGAATATTAAAGATGAAACAAAATACACATCCTGTAACAGTTCTGAAGATTAGCAGCCAAGATTATTGAAACAAAGTTGACCCAAGAAAAAAAGTTGAGGATAAAAAAGGTGACTACTAAAAAGGTTGATGATAAAAAAGTAGCTAAGAACAGCTTAATGTTAACTAAGAAGCACGCATTAAAAAGTATTAAACATAAACAAATTATAATTTAAAAAGTTACAGAATTTACAAAATACACGATCCTGTACAGTTCTGAGGATGTAGCAGCCCAGGTATATATTACACAGTTATTAACGGCATATATATATATATATATATATGCCGTTAATAAGCTGTGTAATATATATATAGATATATATATATAATATATATATACACATAATCCTCCATCCATCCATCCATCCATCCTCTCCCCCCTTATCCGTGTCGGGTCTCGGGGGTAGCAGTTCCAGCAGAGAGCCCAAACTTTCCTTTCCCCTCATCAACCAGCTCTGACTGGGGGATCGCCAAGGCGCTCCCAGGCCAGCGAAGAGATATAATCCCTCCACCTGGTCCTAGGTCTACCCCTCGGTCTCTTTCCAGCTGGACGTGCCTGGAACACCTCCCGAGGGAGGCGCCTAGGTGGCATCCTAACTAGGTGCCCGAACCACCTCAACTGGCTCCGTTCGACGCGAAGGAAGAGCCGGTTCAACTCCGAGGTCCCTCCGCGGATGACTGAACTTCTCACCTTATCCCTAAGGGAGACGCCAGCCACCCTGCGGAGAAAACCCATCTCGGCCGCTTGTATCCGCGATCCTCGTTCTTTGGGTCATGACCCATCCTCATGACCATAGGTGAGGGTAGGATGAAAATTGCCCGGTAGACAGAGAGCTTTGCCTTCTGGCTCAGCTCCCTTTTCGACACAAACGGTGCGGTAAAGCGACTGCAGTACCCGCTCCCGCCCGCTGCTCCGATTCTCCGGCCCATCTCACGCTCCATTGTTCCCTCACTCGAGAACAAGACCCCGAGATACTTGAACTCCTTCACTTGGGGTAAGGACCTCATTCCCTACTTGAAGTGGACAGTCCATCGGTTTCCTGCTGAGAACCATGGCCTCAGATTTGGAGGTGCTGATCCTCATCCCAGCCGCTTGAACACTCGGTTGCGAACCGATCCAGTGAGTGCTGAAGGTCGCAGACCGATGAAGCCATTAGAACCACATCATCTGCAAAAAGCAGTGGTGCAATCCTTAGTCCACCGAACTGCAGGACCCCCTCCCCCCACGACTACGCCTCGAAAATCCGATCCATGTATATTAGCAAACAGGATTGGTGACAAAGCGCAGCCCTGGGCGGAGGCCAACCCTCACCGGAAATGGGTCCGACTTACTGCCGAGGACCCGGACACAGCTCTCGCTTTGGGAGTACAGAGATTGGATGGCCCTGAGTAGAGACCCCCTCACCCCATACTCCCACAGCACCTCCCACAGTAACTCCCTGGGAACTCGGTCATACGCCTTCTCCAAGTCTACAAAATACATGTAGACCGGATAAGCGTACTCCCAGGCCCCCTCCAGGATCCTTGCGAGAGTAAAAAGCTGATCCGTCGTTCCACGACCAGGACGGAATCCGCATTGTTCCTCCTCAATCTGAGGTTCGACAATCGGCCTGACCCTCCTTTCGAGTACCTTAGAGTAAACTTTCCCGGGGAGGCTGAGTAGTGTGATGCCTCTGTAATTGGGCACACACCCTCTGATCCCCTTTCTGAAAAGGGGAACCACCACCCCGTCTGCCACTCCTTCGGTAGCTGTTTCCCGACTTCCACGCAACGTTGATGAGACGTGTCAACCATGACAGTCCCTCAACACCCAGAGCCTTCAGCATTTCTGGGCGGATCTCATCCACCCCCGGGGCTTTGCCACGGTGGAGTTGTTTGACGACCTCAGTGACCTCCCCCCGGGAGATTGGTGTTGATCCCCCGTCATACTCCAGCTCTGCCTCTAACATAGAGGGCGGAGTTGTCGGGTTCAGGAGTTCCTCAAAGTGTTTCCTTCCAACGCCCTAACACTCCCATCAGTTGAGGTCAACAACGTCCCATCCTTACTGTACACAGCTTGGATGGTCCCCTGCTTCCCCCTCCTGAGGTGTCGGACAGTTTCCAGAACAACTTTGGTGCCGCCCGAAAGTCCTTCTCCATGTCTTCTCCGAACTTCTCCCACACCCGCTGCTTTGCCTCGGCCACGGCTGAGGCTGCTGCCCTTCGGGCCTGTCGGTACCTTGCAACTGCCTCGGCAGTCCCCCGGGATAACAAATCCCTGAAGGCCTCCTTCTTCAGTCGGACGGCTTCCCTGACCACTGGTGTCCACCAGGAGTTTCAAGGGTTACCGCCCCTTGAGGCACCTAAGACCTTGAGACCACAGCTCCCCGCTTCGGCAATAGAGGCTTTGAACACCGACCACTCTGGTTCAATGTCCCCAGCCTCCACAGGAATGCCTGAAAAGCTCCGCCGGAGGTGTGAGTTGAAGGCCTCCTGAACTTGGGCCTCCTCCAGACGTTCCCAGTTCACCCAAACTTACACGTTGGGGCTTACCATGGTCTATCCAGAGGGTTTCCCCCCGCCACTCGACCAAACTCACCACCAGATGGTGATCAGTTGACAACTCTGACCCTCTCTTTACCCGAGTGTCCAAAAACATATGGCCTCAGGTCCGATGATACGATAACGAAAAATCGATCATGGACCTTCTGCCTAGGGTGCTCTGGTACCAAGTACACTTATGAGCATCCTTATTTTCGAACATGGTGTTTGTTATGGCCAATCCATGACTAGCACAGAAGTCCAGTAACAAACCACCACTCCGGTTCAGATCAGGGGGGCCGTTCCTCCTCAATCACGCCCCCCCCCAAGTGTCTCCATCATGTGCGTTGAAGTCTCCCAGCAAGATTAAAGAGTCCCCTTCAGGAGCCCCATACAGGACTCTTTCCAGGGTCTCCAATAAGGCCGTATACGTCACGCTTTGCCGAACTGCATTGTGGTTCCGTCGCGTCGCTTTGCCTCCGTCGCTCGCACTGAAAGTTGAGAAAAGTTCAACTTTTGAAGCTTCAACGGAAGTGCCAGCAAATCAAATCATATGCCAGAACAAGCTCTAGCCAATCAAACCACGTGCTTGTGTGTCCAGGGCGGGAGATTAATGTGATTGGTTGTTAGTCGCGCACCAGACACGCCCACCGGCAAGCTTCAACGCACGCTGCCGTGTGGACGCACCGTAAAAACAGATAAAATGGGAAATAAAAGAAAGTGCAGAATAGTCTATACAGTAATTGGAATATTGATATATTTGAGTTGCAAACAGATGAATGTTATAGATGTGTGTGATGTGTTATGTTCTTATGTTTGTTCCTTTCTGTCTATCTATCTAGGAAGCTCCTCCCCTCCGGAGCACCGTCCAATCACGCGGCAGCACAGCAGTGGCGTGGACCTGGAGCTCCAGCGTGACACGAGGAGCTCCAGATTTGTCTCAGATCCCAGAGCTGGTGCGCATGGCGCCGGGCTTCGTGAGGATGAAGGAGGGGCGGGGCGCCCAGACCCGGTCTGATTGGAGCAGCAGCGCCGCCAGCTGCAGGACATGGTGTCCAGCATCCAGGCCTCCATGGAGCGGCACCTGAGGGAGGGGACCACCACCAACACCGTCAGAAGGTGAGTTTATCTCTTCTTCATGTCTCTTCTTCATCAACATGTGTCCCCTCTTCTTCATGTCTCTTCTACATCAACATGTGTCCCCTCTTCTTCATGTCTCTTCTACATCAACATGTGTCCCCTCTTCTTCATGTCTCTTCTACAGCAACATGTGTCCCCTCTTCTTCATGTCTCTTCTACATCACCATGTGTCCCCTCTTCTTCATGTCTCTTCTACATCAACATGTGTCCCCTCTTCTTCATGTCTCTTCTACATCAACATGTGTCCCCTCTTCTTCATGTCTCTTCTACATCAACATGTGTCCCCTCTTCTTCATGTCTCTTCTACATCACCATGTGTCCCCTCTTCTTCATATCTCTTCTACATGAATATGTGTCCCCTCTTCTTCATGTCTCTTCTTCATCAACATGTGTCCCCTCTTCTTCATGAATCTTCTACATCAACATGTGTCCCCTCTTCTTCATGTCTCTTCTACATCAACATGTGTCCCCTCTTCTTCATGTCTCTTCTACATCAACATGTGTCCCCTCTTCTTCATGTCTCTTCTACATCAACATGTGTCCCCTCTTCTTCATGTCTCGTCTACATCAACATGTGTCCCCTCTTCTTCATGTCTCTTCTACATCAACATGTGTCCCCTCTTTTTCATGTCTCTTCTACATCAACATGTGTCCCCTCTTGTTCATGTCTCTTCTACATCAACATGTGTCCCCTCTTCTTCATGTCTCTTCTACATCAACATGTGTCCCCTCTTCTTCATGTCTCTTCTACATCAACATGTGTCTCTTCTACATCAACATGTGTCCCCCTGTCTTTTTCATGTCTCTCTACATCAACATGTGTCCCCTCCTGTTCATGTCTCTTCTCATCAACATGTGTCCCCTCTTCTTCAGGTCTCTTCTACATCACATGTGTCTCTTCTACATCAACATGTTTCCCCTCTTCTTCATGTCTCTTTCTACATCAACATGTGTCCCCTCTTCTTCATGTCTCCTCTACATCAAACATGTGTCCCCCATCTTCTTCATGTTGCTTCTACATCAACATGTGTCCCCTCTTCTTCATTCGTGCTTTCCTGCTTCTACATCAACATGATGTCCCCTCGTCTTCATGTCTCTTCTACATCAACATGTGTCCCCCTCTTCTTCATGTCTCTTCTACATCAACATGTGTCCCCGTCTGCTTCATAGTCTCTTCTACATCACACATGTGTCCCCTCTTCTTCATGTCTCTATCTTCTTCATCAACATGTGTCCCCCTCTTCTTCATGTCTCTTCTTCATCAACATGTGTCTCTTCTACATCAACATGTGTCCCCTCTTCTTCATGTCTCTTCTTCCAACATTGTCCCCTCTTTCTTCATGTCTCTTCTACATCAACATGTGTCCCCTCTTGTTCATGTCTCTTCTACATCAAATGTGTCCCTCTTCTTCATGTCTCTTCTTCATCAACATGTTGTCCCCTCTTCTTCATGTCTCTTCTACATCAACATGTGTCCCCTCTTGTTCATGTCTCTTCTACATCAACATGTGTCCCCTCTTCTTCATGTCTCTTCTACATCAACATGTGTCCCCTCTTCTTCATGTCTCTTCTACATCACATTTTCCCCTCTTCTTCATGTCTCTTCTACATCAACATGTGTCCCCTCTTCTTCATGTCTCTTCTTCATCAACATGTGTCCCCTCTTCTTCATGTCTCTTCTACATCAACATGTGTCCCCTCTTCTTCATGTCTCTTCTACATCAACATGTTTCCCCTCTTCTTCATGTCTCTTCTTCATCAACATGTGTCCCCTCTTCTTCATGTCTCTTCTACATCAACATGTGTCCCCTCTTCTTCATGTCTCTTCTACATCAACATGTGTCCCTCTTCTTCATGTCTCTTCTACATCAACATGTGTCCCCTCTTCTCATGTCTCTTCTACATCAACATGTGTCCCCTCTTTTTCATGTCTCTTCTACATCAACAATGTGTCCCCTCTTGTTCATGTCTCTTCTACATCACATGTGTCCCCTCTTCTTCATGTCTCTTCTACATCAAACATGTGTCCCCTCTCTTCATGTCTCTTCTACATCAACATGTGTCCTTCTTCTACATCAAACATGTGTCCCCTCTTTTTCATGTCTCTTCTACATCAACATGTGTCCCCTCTTGTTCATGTTCTCGTCTACTCAACATGTGTCCCCCGCTTCTTCATGTCTCTTCTACATCAACATGTGTCCCCTCTTCTTCATGTCTCTCTACATCAACATGTGTCTCTTCTACATCAACATGTGTCCCCTCTTTTTCATGTCTCTTCTACATCAACATGTGTCCCCTCTTGTTCATGTCTCTTCTACATCAAATGTGTCCCTCTTCTTCATGTCTCTTCTACATCAACATGTGTCCCCTCTTCTTCATGTCTCTTCTACATCAACATGTGTCCCCTCTTCTTCATGTCTCCTCTACATCAACATGTGTCCCCTCTTCTTCATGTTGCTTCTACATCAACATGTGTCCCCTCTTCTTCATGTCTCTTCTACATCAACATGTGTCCCCTCTTCTTCATGTCTCTTCTACATCAACATGTGTCCCCTCTTCTTCATGTCTCTTCTACATCAACATGTGTCCCCTCTTCTTCATGTCTCTCTTCATCAACATTTGTCCCCTCTTCTTCATGTCTCTTCTACATCAACATGTGTCCCTCTTCTCATGTCTCTTCTACATCAACATGTGTCCCCTCTTGTTCATGTCTCTTCTACATCAACATGTTCCCATCTTCTTCATGTCTCCTTCATCAACATTTGTCCCCTCTTCTCAGTCTCTTCTACATCAACATGTGTCCCCTCTTTTTGTTCATGTCTCTTCTACATCAACATGTGTCCCCTCTTCTTCATGTCTCTTCTACATCAACATGTGTCCCCTCTTCTTCATGTCTCTTCTACATCAACATGTGTCCCCTCTTCTTCATGTCTCTTCTACATCAACATGTGTCCTCTTCTTCATGTCTCTTCTTCATCAACATTTGTCCCCTCTTCTTCATCTTCTACTCTCTACATCAACATGTCCCTCTGTTCATGTCTCTTCTACATCAAATGTGTCCCCTCTTCTTCATGTCTCTTCTACATCAACATGGTCCCCTCTTCTTCATGTCTCTTCTACATCAACATGTGTCCCTCTTCTTCATGTCTCTTCTACATCACATGTGTCCCCTCTTCTTCATGTCTCTTCTTCATCAAACATGTGTCCCCTCTTCTTCATGTCTCTTCTACATCAACATGTGTCCCTCTTCTTCATGTCTCTTCTACATCAACATGGTGTCCCCTCTTCTTCATGTCTCTTCTACATCAACAGTGTCCCCTCTTCTTCATGTCTCTCTTCCATCAACATTTGTCCCTCTCTTCATGTCTCTTCTACATCAACATGTGTCCCCTCTTTTTCATGTCTCTTCTACATCAACATGTGTCCCCTCTTGTTCATGTCTCTTCTCTACATCAACATGTGTCCCCTCTTCTTCATGTCTCTTCTACATCAACATGTGTCCCCTTTTCATGTCTCTTCTACATCAACACGTGTCCCCTTCTTCATGTCTCTTCACATCAACATGTGTCCCCCTTCTTATGTCTCTTCTAATCAACATGTGTCTCTTCTACATCAATGTGTCCCCTCTTTTCATGTCTCTTCTACATCAACATGTGTCCCCTCTTGTTCATGTCTCTTCTACACAACATGTGTCCCCTCTTCTTCATGTCTCTTCTAATCACATGTGTCCCCTCTTCTTCATGTCTCTTCTACATCAACATGTGTCCCCTCTTCTTCATGTCTCTCTACATCAACATGTGTCCCCTCTTCATGTTGCTTCTACATCAACATGTGTCCCTCTTCTTCATGTCTCTCTTCTACATCAACATGTGTCCCCTCTTCTTCATGTCTCTTCTACATCAACATGTGTCCCCTCTTCTTCATGTCTCTTCTACATCAACATGTGTCCCCTCTTCTTCATGTCTCTTCTTCATCAAATTGTCCCCTCTTCTTCATGTCTCTTCTACATAACATGTGTCCCCTCTTCTTCATGTCTCTTCTACATCAACATGTGTCCCCTCTTCATGTCTCTTCTACATCAACATGTCCCCTCTTCTTCATGTCTCTTCTTCATCAACATTTGTCCCCTCTTCTTCATGTCTCTTCTACATCACATGTGTCCCCTCTTGTTCATGTCTCTTCTACATCAACATGTGTCCCCTCTTCTTCATGTCTCTTCTACATCAACATGTGTCCCCTCTTCTTCATGTCTCTTTCTACATCAACATGTGTCCCCTCTTCTTCATGTCTCTTCTACATCAACATGTGTCCCCTCTTCTTCATGTCTCTTCTTCATCAACATTTGTCCCCTCTTCTTCATGTCTCTTCTACATCAACATGTGTCCCCCCTCTTTGTTCATGTCTCTTCTACATCAACATGTGTCCCCTCTTCTTCATGTCTCTTCTACATCAACATGTGTCCCCTCTTCTTCATGTCTCTTCTACAATCAACATGTGTCCCCTCTTCTTCATGTCTCTTCTACATCAACATGTGTCCCCTCTTCTTCATGTCTCTTCTACATCAACATGTGTCCCCTCTTCTTCATGTCTCTTCTTCATCAACATGTGTCCCCTCTTCTTCATGTCCTCTTCTACATCAACATGTGTCCCCTCTTCTTCATGTCTCTTCTACATCAACATGTGTCCCCTCTTCTCCATGTCTCTTCTACATCAACATGTGTCCCTCTTCTTCATGTCTCTTCTACATCAACATGTGTTCCCCTCTTCTTCATGTCTCTTCTTCATCAAACATTTGTCCCTCTTCTTCATGTCTCTTCTACATCACATGTGTCCCCTCTTTCTTCATGTCTCTTCTACATCAACATGTGTCCCCTCTTGTTCATGTCTCTTCTACATCAACATGTGTCCCCCTCTTCTTCATGTCTCTTCTACATCAACATGTGTCCCCTCTTCTTCATGTCTCTTTCTACATCAACATGTGTCCCCTCTTCTTCATGTCTCGTCTACATCAACTGTGTCCCCTCTTCTTCATGTCTCTCTTCATCAACATGTGTCCCCTCTTCTTCATGTCTCTTCTACATCAACATGTGTCCCCCTCTTCTTCATGTCTCTTCTACATCACATGTGTCCCCTCTTCTTCATGTCTCTTCTTCATCAACATTTGTCCCCTCTTCTTTCATGTCTCTTCTACATCAACATGTGTCCCCCTCTTGTTCATGTCTCTTCTACATCAACATGTGTCCCCTCTTCTTCATGTCTCTTCTCATCAACATTTGTCCCCTCTTCTTCATGTCTCTCTTCTCATCAACATGTGTCCCCTCTTCTTCATGTCTCTTCTACATCAACATGTGTCCCCCTTCTTCATGTCTCTTCTACATCAACATGTGTCCCTCTTCTTCATGTCTCTTCTTCATAACATGTTGTCCCCTCTTCTTCATGTCTCTTCTACATCAACATGTGTCCCCTCTTGTTCATGTCTCTTCTACATCAACATGTGTCCCCTCTTCTCATGTCTCTTCTACATCAACATGTGTCCCCTCTTCTTCATGTCTCTTCTACATCAACATGTGTCCCCTCTTCTTCATGTCTCTTCTACATCAACATGTGTCCCCTCTTCTTCATGTCTCTTCTACATCAACACATGTTGATGTAGAAGAGACATGTTTTGACCTGCTCTCGGTCATATTAAGGACTTTGGCTTTTGCAGCAGGGTTTTAAAAGAGTCTTCATTATACAGTTTTTTATGAAATAACCTTTTCTTTAATTTCATGTTGATTTTATTATAGCCACAACCAACGTCTGCGGATCAACAACCGTCTGTAAAACAACAACCAAATTTCTGCAGAACAACAACCAACGTCTGTGGAAAAACCTCCGGACGGGAAACCGGACCCCAAGGAGGAACCGGAGCAGATGGAGAGCCAGGAGGCGGGGCCTGATGGTGCCATCGAGCCAATGGATCACTCCTGATCACTTCCTGATCACTAAATACTTCACTTCCTTCCCGCCTCTTCGCTCGGAACGACTGCTTCTTCGTGTTTCCGTCGTCTTCGCTGCATCTCTCAGCGATACGTCATCCTCACTCTGCTGCTACACTAACGCAGTGTGTGTGGTGTGTGTGTGTGTGTGTGTGTGTGTTGTAAATAGACTCTATGCACTTTGCTACACACACATGGACCTTTCACTTTAACTGCAGTAAAAAACACGGCGTTCAGAATTTAGCTCCTGCTTCTCCTTCTGTCTGCTGTGACGATGTAATTCACCGCATTTTGGCACCACATTCAAAACAGATCGGAGGCTCGAGACGCTGCATTCCTGTAGATAGAAAACTCTTCTTTCTGTTTTTTTGGGGGGGGGGGTCATGCAGACATGCTTCATAAAGAAACGCCGCCTCGACGCCTTCATCGTCGTCTGAGAAACTGATCTGATCCCTTGATATTTAACGTCTGAAGCTCTGTGCCGCCTGCAGGTCAGTTTTAAACCTCGAAAGCGTTTTATTTACCGTTTGAAAACAGACACGTGAAGCAGGATATCAGTTTGGGTGTAAACGCTTGAAATGCCAAGAGATGTGAGGTCATTCAGAGAGACAAGTTATTTTTACTGTAAATAACAAATAATGTAAAAAATAATAGTTTGGCCGATGTGTTGTAATCAGATATTTGAGACAATTCTGGATCACGTAAATTCAAAGTGACACATTCGCCTCTAAAAGCTCCACAAACATGTTGAATGAATGTCCCAATTCTTCCCAAGCAGCCGTACGTTGTATATTTCAGATTCAGAGTTTAATATCGACTGGATGTTTGTATAAAACACACGTTTGAACATAAAGACAGAAACTGCAGTTACTCCTAGTCTCCTCAGGTGGCACTGCCTCCTCGTTTGCACGGCTCTGTAGTTTCCTGCCTGTGGAAGCAGAGAAACTACAGAGCTGGATTTGTTTGAAAAAACACAACAAAAAACTATTTTTTGCCTTAAAGTTGAATTTCTAATGTGCGTAAAATCCTCCAAAAGCACTTCCTTTGGCTTCAGAATGAGGACCCTTTAATCTGATGGACCTCCAGAATATTAACCCTTCATCAAACCAACCTGAGAACGTTTCCAGACGATCAGAAACCGGAAGACACGGGAAATATTATTATGGAGGAAAAAAAAACTCCATTTTGTTTTCATTTATTTAGATTTTTGTATTTAGAAAGGCCCCAAAGGATGCTGGGAAATGGAGTCTTTTAAAAGCATCTAATCGCAGGAGGTAGTGTATAAGTGAGGTGGCCTTCACTGTCAGTGGTTAATGTTGACACACACACACACACACACACAACACACACACACACACACACACCACACACTCTCACACACACACACACACACACACACACACACACACACACACACACACACACACACACACCATCTGATATTTGGTGAATCCCCCTGACCTTCCCCAAAATGACTGGAAACGGAGGGAACTGCTAGCATGGCTCCGTGTGACGGAAAAGTTGTGGTTGTACAGGTGTTCTGTGTCAGGTTATAAATATATGCTAAGCTAAACACACAAATTAAACAAAAGGAATTGTATTTTCTAAAATAACGAACCTTAGAAAATGGCTAAAAGTCAAAAATGTTTTTCAGGAAATCTGTTCGTTTCACACCTTGAGTTTCACAACGAGTCTTATTAGTTTGAGATCTCATGTTCGACCCTGTTTTAGTTTCATCTGTTGTGTTTGAAACAGATCTAAAGATGTGATCGGTTCTTTAACTCTCGGCTCGATGAGGTTTTGCGGTGGGATTGTGCACTTTTGTTCGAGGAGAAGAGGAACGTTAGCGTAGCATGCTAACGCTCACAGACAGAGACGTTGGGCGGAAAGGGAAACAATGACGCGCTGCTGCAACTTGAAGTTTTTTCTTTGAGCCGTACACTGACATGAATGTAACCCAGTTGTATAAAAGTATATATTGTAGTATATTGGGACCTGTACAGAAACTGCAGATTCAGTTCCTTCACCTGTGTTTGTTTTTTGTTTACTTCTCTCTGGTTTGCTAATAAAATATCCTTGGTACACGGCTTGGCTGTTTGCATGTGTGATGCATTTTCAACCCGACAATAAAATCACTTCCTTCACTTGTTTCTGTGTTTCGTCGTCACTGATTTGATCTGTTCGTCTGCTTTAAATAGTAATCACAGGATATATAAGTGTTTGAAGGTTTCTTATTTCACTAATTTCCACTCCTCGACTCCTCGGTCCTCCGGTAGTGACCCTGAATGGATTTCTGCGCGCCATGTTGAAGGACATCTCATTTCTCTAAATGCACTCCGAGGATCGAGCGTCGAGGAGGCTCTCTGGAGGAGCTCTAACCGAGGAGAGAGGAGACAGGAGGCTCTCTGGAGGAGCTATGATCGAGGATAGAGGAGACAGGAGGCTCTCTGGAGGAGCTATGATCGAGGATACACTGATGGGTCCTCCACGGCTCCTTCGTGGATGCATTTCCGGCAACAGAGATGTTGAGGTTGAACAGCTGTGAGGTCCGTGCAGAAAGCAGAGCAGTGTGTATAATAGATATCACTCAGTAGAACAGGCCGACTCTCTTTATTTGCTTTAGTTTAGTAGATATCTACAAACAAAGAGTCCAGACCATTTAGTGCTTCACATAATAAAATACACAACGGCTGCAGCCTGATGATGCTTTAGGAGCTGCAGGTGTGTGTGTGGACTCAGCGGGGTTAAAGGTCGCGCAGCGTCCAGATAAACAGATACTACTCTTAAGGAGTCTGTTCCTGGCTGCAACTCGCGGGGGAGTCTTGGTTTTTCTCAGATCCATGGCTAGTTTACAGCGGTCGTCTTAGTGGGGTCCTTCGTTTTAGATGATTTGCTGAGTGGAGGGTGGGGCTTATTGCGTTGAATGGGGGAGTCATTTATAGAATTAAGAGTTTTAAAAAAAAAAGTTCTTTAAGCGTTGTAGCTTTTTCATATCATCTCCAACCAAGCAGCAATAGGTCAACATTTAAGAATAAGTAATAGTTTGTCAAGATTTTAGGGAAAAAGTCAAAAAAGTATAGTTTGTCAGAAATATGGAAAAGTCATTGTGTACAAATAGTATGTTGAAAATCAAAAGAAAGAAAACTCAATTCATTACAAATTAATGAATATTTACCCTGTTCTAAAGTTTTGCACCCCTTAAAGAAAAACCCATTCCTTACCAAGTACTTCATATATACCCTTTTGTTAAGTGTTGCGTACATCAAGGTGTATCTTAAAGTATCTTGGTAGCAGAAAATAACTAAAATATGTAAGGTTATCAGAAAAGAAAAAACCTTGTTTAACTGAACAAGTGTGCATACGCCAAAGTGTGTCTAAAAGTATCTTAGTAACACAAGAAAAGAGAAAAAAGCATTGATGTTAACAAAAACTGGATTGTTCCACTGAAATAATAAATAATTTCAAAAAGTGTTTAAAAATGTATTCAGATAAAGTATTTTGTTAGACTATTAAGTCCAAGATGGTCACATTTGTAACCATTTGTATTATATTTTTGTTTTCCTAATAAAGACAGAGTCACCTGAATTAATTTAGTCTCCAGACTTTTTATTTTTTACATTTTGTAACAATCTTTAAACATTTGTAGAGAACAAACACTGAGGTTAAAATGAGTGTCTTATGACGTCTCTCACACAGTTGGTAGTTTTCCACAAAATTCATTTTTAAAACACAATCAATCTTGATACAGAGATAACACATTGTTCGTAAGACAAACCCCGACGCTCTTTTTACATTGGTAGAAAAACACAATGCTTTCTTTGAGGGGCCCTTAGTTTTAAATGATCTGGTGAGGAGGTGTGACTTGTTATGTTGAGTGGGGGGAGGAGTCCTCTGCCAAAAGTGAGAGTCTTTTTACGCAGTATAATGTCCATCGATGTCTGACTCTGTTTAAAAAGTCTTTTAAGCTTTGTAGCTTTTTCCATCAATCATTTTCAGCCAAGCAGTCAGAGGCACCCGCAAGGATGTCTGAAAACCCCCGCATGTAGAGTTGAAATACTCCAAAACAAACCATCAGAGGGGTCCTTCCCAGCGTCACCATACGGCTTGCGCGGTAATACCATCGCCCCGATGGTCCGCTTTTAGTTGTCCCAGACGGTGCTTGTCAGGACTCTTCTCAATTCTGGCGGCGGGGAAATATCTCCTTCTTCTTCCTCCACCTTGAGGGGTAGCAGTGAAAACTCTTCTTTGATCACGCATGCTGTCTGCGTTTCTTTGCTTTTCTTTGCAAATATCTTGTACACCGCTGGTTCCACGCCTGTTTCTTGATGCACTACTCTTCTTCCGATACAGTGGTTGCGTGTGAGATCTCTGGAGGACACCAGAGTTAACACAGCCCAATCTGTTGAGGTCAGTGTCGCTTTAACACTACGGGGTCCATACGTTTCTCCATTCTTCAGATTGTAGAAATGCAGTTAATTCGCCATATAGTTGAATACATAACCCCAAACATCGCCATTTTTCAGAGTCCATTCTTCATGAAGTTCTTCGGCTGGAGGCGTCTGAACCCGGCCCAGATACTGCATTCGTTTCTTGATTGGCGCTCCGGATGGATGGCGGTAAGTTGTCACAGGCGTCTCGCTGATTAAACCCATATCGAGGCGTCTCTTGGCCATTTTTCTTTTTTTGAAAGGTGACTTGCGGAGTGGAAATGACTGGCTTGTTATTTAGTCTGCATGGATTTCTATTTTCATCTATTTCCATCCCCTTACTTTTAAATGATCTGGTGAGGAGGGCGGGGCTTGTCATGTTGAGGGAGAGGCGGAGTCATGCTGAGTTGGATGATGACGATGAGGAGGAGGAGGAGGAAGAGCTAGGATTGGGAGGATTAAGACGCATTTCTAAGATTCCTAGTTCAAGAGATTTAAGAATGATTGACAGCATACCCTTTGACAGATCACCCATTAAAAGAAATAAAAAGACCCCTCCCAAAGTCCCAATAAGGACGAGTTCGATTCCTTCGGACAAAAGATTTAGATTGAGCGTATTTCCTCACAGAGCCCCTCCTCCAACACACATGACGCGCGCACATGACCAAAAGAGGGCACGAGATAAGTTTGTGCACAGATCTTCGGCTGTACGCGTCTGAACCCCGCACTGATACTGCATTAGGTTTCTTGACTGGCGCTCCGGACGGATGGCGGTAAGTTGTCAGAGGCTGATTAAACCCAATTCGAGGCGTCTCTTGGCCATTTTTCTTTTTTGAAAGGTGACTTGGTAAGTGGAAATGACTGTCTTTTTATTTAGTTTGAGCATATTTCTATCTTCATCCCACTATCTGCTGGCGTCATAGCCAAAAAGAAGGGGTGGAGAAAAGGGGGAGAGGCCTGGGCTGGGAGGGGGCGGGTAGACAGTCTCACGCATAACTTCAAAGAGACACCTAGATTAACATCAAAGGCTTATAACACACCAGTGTGAAGTCACACCTGCCTGTTATAACACCTCACATCAAAGGGCAAACATCAAAGGCTAATTAGATTATACAACAAAGGGCTCTGAGGGGCAGGGGCCAGACTGCATAACTTCAAAGAGACTACCTTAATCAACACCTAGATTAACATCAGAGGCTTATATCACACCTACCTGCTATAACACCTCACATCAAAGGACTAGACTACAAAGGTGTGTGAGGGGACAGGGGCCAGACAACATAACTTCAAAGAGACTGCCTTAATCAACACATCAAATAATTAGACAACAAAGGCACTACACAGGGGGGCTTTTCACACCTACCTGTGATAACACCCATCAAAGGACCTCGAACAATGGGAGGCGGGACTTAGCTCCTTTGCATAAGTAGGGAGAGGTGTGACCTGTTACACCACCTGTCACTTTTCATGCATACTAATGTGATTGAAACAGTATGAGTACTACTCCCCTCCCCCACCCCGTCCCCAGAACTACACATGCTGGCTATTGTGTTTCGCAACATGTTCTCTATCTATGGCACGTCTCTACTGGGAGTTGTAGTTTTAAAAGACGTTTTCGTATTTCCCATAATAAGAAGTTGCCAGTATTAAACTGTGTACATCCCTGGAGGTTTAGGGGATAGGGAACACTCACATTTAAAACATATAATTAATAAATGGGTGAAAATTGCTTGTGCCATAATGGGCAGCATTAATATATATACACACATGCCAGCTAAGGTCAGAAGAGCTTTATTTAACAGCTGGTCTTATGCTTGTGACCCCTGTTGTTCATTGATGAGCCTGAAACATACACTTGTCAAGGTTCAGAGGCACATTTTGCAAATATGGCAGTATAACCATCGATCATCTTAAGATAAGATATACTTTATTGATCCCAAGTTGGAACATTTGCGTTACATCAGCATGTGTAACAGTTGTAAATATGCAGTGGTGTTTATTTGTAAATCATTTAGTATAATCACACAAATTCTGTGTTTTATATTTAATAATTCTGTGTTCTTTATTTATTGAATGTTCAATACCTGATAAGGCCGGAGATGAAAAACTTTGGTGGCAGATTCCTCAACAGTGCATTACAAGACATCTATCAATATGTGTATACCTCCACCATTAAACTGTCGTATTCTGCACATTTCTTATACTATCTACATACATCTTATATAAGAGTATAATACATATGTATAATATCAGTTAAAATAAGTGCTTCAACATACAGTAGTTAACATTGCAGGAAAGCAATATATTAGTACTTTGTCAGGCTTCATATTTATATCCCCAAAGCTTTTTTCGGTAACACTTTATATTAAGGTACACAAATTAACCATCAACTAGTTGTTAATTAACATGCATATTAGCAGTATATTGGCTCTTTATTAGTCATTATAAAACACTTATTAATGCCTTATTCTACATGACCATATTCTACAAGTAATAAGCCATTAGTTGAGAGTTTTTCCTCAATAACCCTCTAATTAGTGCTTATTTATTGCAAGTAAGGAAGTTGTTGTACATGAGTTTTGGTCTTAATATGCGCTGCCCAATATGGGCCTAATAAGGCAGTAGTAGCACAAGAATAGTCATTCTCCCATAATAACACTTAACAAATATGATCTATTCTTATGGAACAAGACATGAAACTATAAGTGTTAATTAAGTCTAAA